CAGAGCCCGTCAAACTGGGTGCACTGTAGCATTTTCTGATTTTACTACATTCTGCATATTTGAACTGCACACCTGATATACCCTGTTGATGTCAGTTCCAGCTTTGTGTCATTGCCTGAGCGAGTTGGCATTGGTCAGTGATGTTTTAACCTCTTAAAACTGTGGCCACGCGAAGTTCTACCGCGACATGTTATCGGAGAATTGACAAGCGCTCGGGTATAGGGTCAAGTTAACGTCCCAAAGTTTTTCGCGAAATAATTTCCAAACAGCCCTTCGCAACCGCGCTTAACTTTGCATAGCTGTAGGTGACTGAATAGCGGATTGTTTGGTATAAAACATATGTGCTTTGTGAGATTATTGACCCATGGCAGGTCAAAGTCACCGTCAGCGAAGGCAATTTCTAGGGTTCTGTTCAATCTGGTGCGACAGCGGAGTGTTGGAAAAAACCATACATCATTGAGATAGTTCTTAGACGATCAGTCAATTGAATTTAGAAGACCTACTTATTCAATTGACATTGGACCAATTATGACGGCCTAACGAAGGTCAAAACCAACCTGCTTTTTACTCGAGAGCTTGTTGTGTAAAGCAGCTTCTGATTTTCATTTTGAATGCATTAATGACTGGGATCGCAATAGACATCTTCCATGTATTTCTTAAAGGAATTGGTCCACGTATGAAGGCATTGAAGCAAGCATTAGACATGATGCAATAAGCTCACCTATATAACTATTGGCATGCTTGTCAGTGGGATAGAATGCTCTAGAAAACGCAACATCTATATTTCGTAAACATGCTTCACAATGCGTCACTGTTTGATTGCGTCATCTCAACTTGCACAGCAGTGATGAAGAGCCAATTGACGGCCGACATATCTGGAAATCGTGCTCACAAATCAAACATATGAACGACTCTATGATAGTTTTATTGGTTTTGATCGCCGCATGACTAATGACATGGCAGAGTTTGAAAGACGTTATTATGGCGTCATGAGTGCCTGAATGACTCAGAAATAGTTCGCTCAAAATAGTCTGCACATCTTCGCGGGCGTGTAGCTCAGAAACTAGAAAAGTCTTAGGAAAGGCAGGGCTGTAAATTGCACCAAATGGTCTTCAAGGTGGCAAATTTTAGTTCAAAACCCCACACAAATGAAGAATACTCCGTTTGAAGGCCAGAGTGGGTAACTGACTTAAAATGACCCAGGTTAACATTTTGCTTTCAGGAATATACCACTAGGGTAATCCCTGGTGCCTACTCAAATGCGAGGATCAAAACAACCTTGTATGATTTTGGTCACCATAACCTTCTAAATGTTAAACAAAGCTACTTAACTTAAATGAGCATCAGCGACCTTTTGCTTCGAACAGTTATCTACATTCACGGTGATGGCACCAGAGAGCCTGGGGCACTTTGGACACTACTGTTGAGTTTGGTTTTGTCTGACCTTGTTCGACCCAAAAGTCATGACGTAATTACCTCATATTCTGACACAACTGAGTCCACATTGGAGGGAAACTCACCTTGTAGATTTTGTTTCTCCAGTTTTCTTCTTTTTTATATTTCAGGAGGTCAAACTAACCTCTCCTCACCCGAGCGAAGGGTTTTCAACGGTCGCCCGGATGCGTGCTAAACCAAAACTGGTCGAACAATAACACCCCAAGACGTAACGAATTCACTAGGGACAGCTGCGAAAACCCGACTATCGAAACCACCCGACTAAACCTTCAGCGGTAATCGTCCGACAATGATCAGCAAAAAAGGAAGAAGAGAAAAACGCCAGGCGTTTCGAACATGTCTATCGTAAGTGCTGCATTGTAGCCTGAATTCCGCCTTGCGGCTTCCTGCCAAGGTTTTCCGTGGGAGCCTTTAATAGTCGCGCACTTCAACTTGCGCCATTAATTCTTGAACCATACGCATCCAACAGTGCCTAAAGCCAAATAGCACTGACCATACGTCGGTTACTGAAATCTAGTACCGTTCATCGAGATCCAACAAGGTGACTATTATCCACAGCAACAAAACCCTACACCGAACCATAGCAACAAAACGTGTCTGTCAAGCTCCCAGCTTCGTAAATAACAAGGTGAGATTCCTGCTCCTAAAACTTTGGGAGAACATTAGGTCAAATCGGGGTAAAAACATGCGTTTAGTGTGTTTTAAGCGCATGCTTAGCTACTTTCTCCGACCAACGCCCCAAATCTGTTTCGCTAAACCACATCTCTGCGGTGGACGCTTATTGACAGTGACATGTGAGGAACTCGCCAGCAATTACTTCACCGTCCAGCCCACATCCCAAGTGGAAAGCGTCTGAGTCAAGAGACAGGTGGTTTAAAATCAGTGTAAGGTGATCGGCGGCTTACACCGACTCCAAGTGGCGGCAGCGAGACTTTCAAGGATGTTGACCGGATTGAAGACAAATTGAATACTGAATCGGCTTGTCGCAATGCACATTGCACACAAATATGATGACGAATGAAATACATTGAGATATAGAGAGCTGCAATCTCGGATTTAAGAATGGTTATATTTTTAGCACATGAATCGTTACTTTTAGAGATAAAAATCCATGATATATGGACACATTGTTCAAAATGCCAGAACACCGGAATATATATCATCGAGACAAAAGAGATAAACGAACCTTAAGCACTAATACACTAATAGCAAGTCTCTCCTTGTTCGGAAAAAGGCAAGGACCTCATAACCTATTCAACAGCGTAAATTTAAATGAGATAATATATGAAATTGTGTTATGTTAAATTATGGCCAACCCCCGTTGCCTAGGAAGGTCAATCCTTCTCCAGAATCGACTAGTGAAACAAACTACGTAAAAAGCTTTGAACCTGTGCTCACAATCTTAGTAGCAAGAACACCGATGTGCCGGGTATGCAGTTTCTATCACACCGAGCAGCGTTGGCCGCCGCAGATAACATCAGACGGCGGGCACCGGGCGCACGAGGAAGACCGTTGTGAAATAATCTTTCCGATAGTCTCACAACTGATTCGCATCGTTCAAAGGTTAGACTGGGATGTACATTTCAGCCGCATAATTTTAACAGCTCAAAGGAAACAACAGCACCGAAATAAAACTTTTCCTTCCCTCTACTTTTCCAGCTTCTACCGAATTCCAACACGGTTTCGCAGCGCTGTCGATGCTATTTAATTCACATCGGCGATGTAAAACTCGTGCGGTTTATGTATTTGCTTGTACATGTACATCGGTCCATCTTCAGGCGCCCTCGTACACTCCCTAACCAACTCGGGGCTCTTGTCAACACCGGACCTCCGGTTAGGCGCTGTGTGCCCCTGGCCGACACAGGGGCCCCTCATTGGCTCGGGGTGCACTGACCAATGTAAATCGCGGGTCCTGACCTTGTCCCTGCTTGGGAAATGGGCTCCCAGGCCCAGATCGGGGCCCAATCGGTGCCCCCGGGGCTCTTCTGGCTGGTATTTGAGAGTGGGACCTGCGCCCCCTCAATGACCTTTAGCCAGTTCTTCGGGTCCCATATCGGATTTACGATGCTCCCATTTGAGATTTCGTCGTGGTCACCTGAATGACACTTGAGGCTTAGGACCAATCACTTTCTTCCCACGACAGTCCGACATCAAGGGCAAAAAAGTGGAAAATAACAAAAGTATCCCCCAAAACTTACGGCAACAAGCAGGGGCAGATCCAGACAGGGGGGCTACGGCCCACCCCCCTTGGGCCCCGAAGGGGCCCTTTGGCTCCGGGGCCGATAGCCGGCCGAACAGGTGCAGTTTGTTTAACACAAAACGCAACAAAGCTGGGTATCTTTGGATTTTCAGACCACCAAGAAGTTGTAAGCGAAAGTGAAGGGCCCATAAGAAGCCCCAAAAATTACTCAATGGTTGGAAAAGTTGTAAACTGGAAATTTTAAGCCTCATCACACTCTCTAGGGCCCCATGCTGTTTCCGGGGAACCTACATGTCCCTTGCAGATTCATTTCGGTCGTTTAGGGGCATTCCACGTTGTCCTTCATTTCTTTGCATTTGCTCAAAGGGCCCTGCGCTGCTGTTGGGCCCTTTCCTGTTAGCGTGCCGGGAACTCCTGTCAATCACGGGCCCTTCCACGGATCATTTCCATTCGTCAGAAAGGCCCTGTGAGCGGTAGCCAGAGTCCCATACCTTAACCTGCCGGGGTATTCTCGGCTGATCAGGGGCCCTTGACGTGGGTATCGGTTAACCTGCCGACACACTTGCGATATATCCATGGGTCCTCTACATTGGTCTAGGGTGTTTCCAATTCTCTGTCACTTGCTTAGGGCCCTACACTCTTGTCGCGGGCCGATGCAATGGCCTGCTCAGTCGTTTGATTTCTGCATACACGCTCAGCCCAGGACGAAAGGAGCTGGCTGGACACCGCCCAGCCAACTCTGGACACTGTCCATCACCGTGCCTGAAATCTGCGACACACGTGGCTTGGCGCGTCGCAATCCGCTCGTGAGTTGGTTATAATTCCAAACGGCGCAGCGGAACATGTTGAAACACTGCCGTAATTCGCTGCAATACCACGGTGATCGTTTAACGTCTTTCATGCATCGAGCCGACCTTTCACACGTGATTCTGCACTTTTGCACTTTCTTGCCTCCAAGGCTGCCAATCCACGTATGCTTGACACGTATAACCACCTGAAAGACTTTTGGAGGGTGTATAAGTCCGGTGCGTAACCGCCCTCTGTTTTGCAGGGTGTATAAGCCCTGTGCGTACCCGCCCTCCGTTTTGGAGAGTGTATATGCACTGCCTAAAACGAATAAAAGTAGTAAATTCAGCATTGCCTCCGGATCGTACTTGATTTTTATGCGACCGAAAGATGATTACTCCTTGAAAAAGCTCTGCTCCACCTAGCACGCCCTCAGTTGGTGCTTAATGTGTATTTTGGTGATGAAAAAAGTTATTCTGGTTGTTCAATTAATTTTCCCCCACATAAACAGACGCAACTGGAGGCGCACTCCTTGAGGGCAGCCTGCCGTGTCGGGTGGCGAGGTTCGTTTCGCGCTGGCAAAGGTGGGCAAACAGGAGACGGGTAAGTTGAGAAAGAATTGTTCATCTCGCTTCCTAGTGCTAGCACTTTGCTCAATCGGCTGGCAAAAGTCTGATGGCTTATTCTGGTCCCATGCTCTTTTATCAGAAGGGAATGTTTTTCTATCTCTTAAACTGGCTTCAGCTTTAGCTTTACCCTGGGGATTTCAAATAAATTAGTTAAACATGGCTTGTAATATTCTAGGCTGGGGGCTGCTGACCTTAAACTGTGCTTTAAAGGGAAGGCTCCATATTGGAATATGCTGAAGTAACTATCATGCATGATCACATATTCTCACTTATGGTTATTGACATCCTTTTAGGTGAAAAAGACTTCTAGACAACACAGTTAAACTATTTTATAAATGGCTTTAGTGAGTAGCTAGCCTGAGTAAACACTCTCCTTAATATGCCATTTATTACATCATGGTACCATGCACAGCATTGATTGAGGGCCAATTGACAGGGGGTATATCTGAAAGTGATACTCATAGTCACCAGATATGGACAACCTGGCAATTATGTTCTTATTTGCTCTTATTGACACATGACCAATGCAATAGCTGGATTTGAATGATGTTATGGATGCCTTTGGTGACCTGGGAATAGTCAGCACAACATGATTGCTAATCTGCATATTTTGCAGGCAGGTATGATCTCAGGAACTGGGAAATTTTACACCTAAAGAAGGGTGGGGCTGTGAAGTGCTCAAAATGATTTCAAGATGGTTATTTCAGTTCAAAACCCCATTCAAATATGGAATAACCCTTGAAGCATAAAAAACTTGCATCATTGACTTCACATTCTGCCCCATGTTTTCAAAATACAATGCAGCTGTCTGACTTCAGTGCTAGCTTTCCTGTCCTAAACTTTAAAGCTGTAGGATTTTGCTTCAACTCTGGCCTGATGTCATTGTGTTGGCTTTAGATTCAGCTTTGAATCCAAGACAGTGGTACGAAGTTGAAGTGGGAGCCAAAGCTAATGGCTGTACAGTTCAGCACTCTAGGGCTGGATCTGGAACCATTGGCTTAATGTTTTGAAACATGAAGCTAAATCTGAAGCCAGTGACTTCAAATTCTGTTAACATCAAGTCAAAGCATAGGAGCATAGGAAGAATGTCAAACCCATACCCAAACACAAACCCACTGTCTTAAAATCATGAGGTTGAAGGTGAAGCCAAACCTAGTATACATTGTACAATTTTGTTTTTGACACAACATTGCTGCGTTGTTTTGTGAGTGGGACTGTAATGTAAAAGCTGTTTGCTGAACTGGACCATCAAGAAGTGCACAAAGTCAGAGTCAAACCCACGTATTTGAATATTTCTGCAGTTTATTTGTTTGACTCTCATCAAAATGTATGTGTCATGTTCTCTGAGTGTCTTCTTTGTTGCAGGTTTTCCTTCTCAGGCTCCATATCCAAAACTGTGTGATGCACCTCCTAACACTGCACAGAGCTGAGCAGTGTGGCTTGGCAGAGTCCAGAAGTGGATCTTGGGCCAGGAAGATACCCACCAGTCACCAGCCACATGGTACGGACAGGATTGAGATGCACAGGTGGCTATCCACCCTCCTCAAGGAACAAGACACATTCAAATTAGAAGAAAGAGTACTGTGCTGCATTCTGCACTGTCTATGGAAGGAAGATGAGCTGAGACATGACATACTGGAAGATGCAGATGTGCGGAAGAAGGCATTCAACATGTTTCTTATGGAGGCCTTAGAGTGAGTTGATCCTCATGTGGTAAATATAAAACATGCATTCAGATCAAGTGGCAATTTGTGCATGTTTTGTTTGGTGTGATGAAATGCATTACTAAATATGAAATAATTTTTGAGGCATATTTGTGTGAATAGGCAACTAAATATGACATGATTTTTTAGGTATATTTGTATAAGTAACAGGCTGCCTTCATTTCAGGGACTAATGTTAGATATGTATGACATTGTTTCCAGGCTTTTTTAAAATGTAAAACTGTTGCACATTGTTATGCTGCCTTTTAGTAACTTAGGTTGTTGAGTGTGAAACTAGCAAGCAGTCTTATACCTCAAATATACATCTTTATTTTGACTGCAGCTTATCACTGCTGACACAGGTGCTTGTGCACTTTAAATATTTTCCTCACCATCAAACACTGCATGTTGCAGTGTTTACCAGGCATCCAGAAACAGTGGAGGACACAATTCAAGGCTGTCTCAGCACATTGTTGACGTCCTGCCCATGGGTCCAGACAAGGTATTTTATTCACACTGCCCATGAGCTTGGTCTACTTACAGGTACATCATGTGTTAGTGTAAATACTGATATTATAACCCACAGCATTTGTCAAATAGGCAGATGACTACCAAAGCTGTGCTTGTTGTTGAGCTGTGATGAGTGGCGGCTTGAGTCCGCCATGATTCAGCGTCGGACACGCGCGACAATATGGTTACAGCTCCGACATCGCTACGTGCCTCAGCGCAAGCCAGTTCCATTGACCTCTGATGGTTCACTCACATTCTGTAGAGAGACAGGCGAAGCTCACAGGACAGATAGGTAATGGATAAACCAGACGTTCAGGCCGTGATCAACGTGGCTGGCACTTTTCTTCCACCTTTCGATGCTTTCTTCTCGGTTAAACCGGCCACGTCCATGACTGCCATCCCCGCATGGTGAGTTCGCGCCGCCGAAATGCGCGGCGTCTCATAGCAGCCGATGCACGGAACTCCATTTACGCGCAGAGCAGGCTGGGTGCCGGCTCTCCGCCTCGCGCCAGCCCACCTTCTCTACACCACCCCTGGTTGTGTTCTCTCCAGTCAATGGAGGGGGACCCGACGGCCCCGGCAGATGTGGGATCGCCGGCGGGTGGTGGTGCGGCCACCGGGGGGGCCGCGGAGCCGCCAGCGCCAGCGGACGCCGCCCCGTCAGACGAGGCGGCACCGGCCCCGGCCGCCCCGCCCCAGACGGAGATACGGCACATGGCGGCCAAACGGCAGCGCCCGGTGAGACGTCATCTGCTGTGGCACATTATGATTCGAGATCCAATCTGACTGCAATGTGATGTGTGATTATGACTGCTTTTACTGTGAATGACTGCAACAGATGTGTGCCAGTGACTTAGTGTGCTGCAGACTGCTTTGTTCGTGCAATGTCTCGATGACGAGAACGGGTCGTCGCGGCCGGCTGAATTGTGAGACAATCGTCATTTCACTTGTCACGTCTTCGGTACTCGCCCGTTTTGTCGTGTGCAATCACTGAGCAGCAGCTGAAACAATGTGGACTCCGATACCACAGGGCTTCTTTTGGAGAGGTGGTGGGTGCGCCACTACTGGGCTGATTGGGTTGACAGTGTTGAACGCATTCCTTCCATGCCCTGTTTGCATGTTGGTGGTGAGCGATATCCCAATTCATTCTACAGTATTATTCCAGCAGAGGCTCCAAAGTTTGGTCCGCCTGCAGGCGTGTGGCGTAGTTTATGACATTGCTGCTCCCGGGCGGGCAGAATCTGCCGACAGAGCCACGTTGACCGTCGTCCGGCCCCGTGGATGCCGTGATTGGGTGGCGAATAACGAGACCGTGGGGTCGGCTTGTCCTTGCCAACTACGTCCGTCAGCGACCGTTGGTCAGAATCGCACCTGATATGAGCCGGCTGTCCCTGTGACGTTCGTCAGCGATCGTTGGCCAGAATCGCACGTGATGTGAGCCGGCTGTCCCCGCGTGAACGCAGTCCTGAGAACAGTGGCACCCAGTGATCTCACTGGTCGCCTGGACAGTTTTTTAATGCCGTGGGCCCCCAGATCGTGTGTGGTGTCGGGGTGTCATGTCGTGTCCCTGTGGGGGGGGGAGGAGGGGGAGGGGGGCGTTACGTCTGCTGACCCAGCCGTCTGGTGATGGTCGGCGCGCCGACCGCTATCAAGCTGTCTGCTACAGCAGGATGTCAGATGGCGTTGTCTGTTACACGAAGACGTCAGGTGGCGTTGTCTGCTGCAGTAGGACGTCAGGTGGCGTTGTCTGTTACACGAAGACGTCAGGTGGCGTTGTCTGCTACAGTAGGATGTCAGGCGGCATTGTCTGTTACACGAAGACGTCAGGTGGCGTTGTCTGCTACAGCAGGACGTCAGGTGGTGTTGTCCGCTACAGCAGGATGTCAGGTGGCGTTGTCTGTTACACGAAGACGTCAGGTGACGTTGTCTGCTACAGCAGGACGTCAGGTGGCGTTGTCTGTTACAGCAGGACGTCAGGTGGCGTTGTCTGTTACATCAGGACGTCGGGTGGCGTTGTCTGTTACACTAAGACGTCAGGTGGCGTTGTGTGCTGCAGCAGGATGTCAGGTGGCGTTGTCTGTTACAGCAGGACGTCAGGTGGCGTTGTCTGTTACAGGAGGACGCCGACGACGCGACGGACGTGTGCAGCGAGCTCACCGTGGCCAAGATTTCGGGCCGCAACATCACCAAACGTGAGAAGGCCACATGGAAGTCCCTGTCCCAGCAGCTGCCAGAGGAGCACATCGTCCTGCCCACTGCCAGCCTTCTCTTCATCAGGTCAGGTCATGTACCATCACCACATCATTCCAAAACTAATTTAACTGGGTGTGACAGATGTACAGGTGCAGGGTACCAGACTTCTGGCTGCCTTGCGGCCTTCACACGCGCAACGTAACATTGGCTGCCAGCATGTTGCCCATGAGGCCCTTACCCTGGCATTTGACCTGCCCGGTCGATTCGCCAAGTCCAAAGCGCCCAGATGCGGACTGACCGCTATCCGGCTCGACGCTGACTGGCCAATTCTGAACGAGGGGAAGAGCTACAGGCACTTCACCCTGAGCCGGGGTCGTAGCGACCTGAAAATGGTAATGCTGGCCCATGGCCGTGCAGCGCGGGCGTGCGCGATCTGGGCTCACCACGTGGTGCCTCTGTCATAATCGCGCCGCCATGTGCGGAGCGCGTTCTATGCATGCTCTGCTTCTACCCAAGGTAATGCGCGTTACTGCGTCTTCTGGACGGTAGATGTCGTGGCGGGTTAGCGATCGTTTGTCTTGGTTCTCTGTATCTACTCGTGTGGTGACGTTGGTGCGAGATGGTGCCGTCGCCGGATGTGTTGAGACCCGTCAGTCTGATACGGCATCTGGTGTGTGCGCAAGGGTCAACTGTCGGGAGCTGGCTGCCCGCACACGGGATGTTACGCTGTCCGGAGCTGGCCACCTGCACACGGGATGTTGCGCTGTCCTCAGGTGTGTGCGCTGTCCGGAGCTAGTGTTCACCGAGTACGCGGCCATGCAGGACCACTGGGAGGAGCGGCGCCACTGTCTCTGCTGCGTCATGTGCGACGCGCTCATGGCCCCGGCCAGCATGGCTCTGGGACACCTGCGGCTCGCACATCAGGTGACCCGCCGCGCCCTGCTCCGCCGGCCGCCTGGCCGGGCGTAGCTGCAACCGCTTGGAGAGCTGCTAATAAATACACGCGTGGCTGGGGGCAATAGAGGCGGGCAAAGAGACTCCATGAGTGGGGTGTGTGTGCGCCGATGGCGGTGGGCAAAGAGACTCCATGAATGGGGTGTGTGTGTGCCGATGGTGGTGGGCAAAGGGACTCCGTGACTAGGGTGTGTTTGCCGATGTTGGTGGGCAATGGGACTTCGTGACTGGTGTCTGTGTGTGGCAGTGGTGGTTTGCGGGGGACGCCGTCGCTCGTGGGTGAGCTTTTTCCAGTTGTGAGGCCATACGTTCGAGGTTTGAGACTCTAGGCACTGCCAGCTCGTCGGTTGCCTCGCCACAGCCGGCGTGAGCGACGGTAGTGGCCATAGCATTCACGCACGTGGTAAGACGACCGAACCGGAAAACATGATCCAAGTGCGCGCGCGTCAGGCGTTAGTATTGCATTAGTATTGCATCAGGCGTTAGTATTGCCTCACTATTGCATTAGTGAGAACTGATACCAAATCTGCAGACGTCCCTGAACCGATTAGCCGCCACGTGAGCTCAGCCGCGGCGCTTGAGCGGCTGAGATTCGCTACTGACTTGTACCGCGTGGCCCACTGTGACGCGGCGGCGCTTCTGTCGCACAGCACGCAGTGCCGGACAACTGGTTCGTGTTCGTGGCGTGCCTGCCGTGTCGGTGGTCCGACTTCGGCTCCACCGAGGACGTCATCAGCCACATGGCCTCGCACCGGGCGGCGCGGGCGCTCCAGCCGGCCGTCTACCCACCCCACCTCACCTGCTTCAAACGGGTGGTGTGCAACCAGTGCGGCCGCGTGCTGGTGGACAGCCGGTCGGAGGCGGTGGACCGGTACCTGCGACGGCCCGGCACGCCGTGCCAGCACGAGCAGGCGCCGACCGTGGCGTGCGCCACGTGCCGCCTAGTGTGGGCTGGCGCCGCCGCGCTGGCCGCCCACCTGCGCCTCGACCGCGGCTCCTGCTACCACCTGAGGACTAAGGTAGGCACCCAGCGACCCTTTGTGTGTGTGTGTGTGTGTGTGTGTGTTTGTGTGTGCGTGTGCGTGTGCGTGTGCGTGCGCGTGGGCGTGGGCGTGGGCGTGCGTGTGCGTGTGCGTGTGCGGGTGGAGGTGGACTGAATTCACGAAGATGGTGCAAGGGTGGGATATCGGGGGCGATGTGTTGTAGCGGGGTGTTCTCAGACAGGATTATAAATGACGTGGTTCAGATCAAGACCGTGACGTTTGTCACCACCGTCCAGCAAAGTGATGAGCGGCACCTGCACTTATCCCAGAGCCGCATGCATTTGTTAAGGGGGGGGGGGGGGGGGCTACCAGCACCATAGCTGCGAAGAGCCGCCAGTATATTTCGTAAAGAGCGAGAGGGCGATAACAGCGTCTGGAGGCGGCAGACGGGCGTCGTATCCCCTCCACCGCGTGCGCCGCTGGGCGTCCGCCGCCACCGGCCGTCTGTCCGTGCGCGCAGGCCCCGGCCGGCGGCTGTCCGCTGTGTCGGCGAGCCATGCAGCCGGGCGAGTCGCTGCCCGACCACCTGCTGGGGCACGCGGCGGCTGGTCTGCGCTGTGTGCAGTGCGGTCTGGTGACGGACACGCACACCGAGATGGCGGCGCACCGGCAGTTCCTGTGGCGCTGCAGCTGCGCCGCCTGCGACACGAGCGTCGGCCGCGGCAGCCGCCTGCTCCGCCACGTGCTGGAGGACCACGACGGCGTGAGTGACGGGGCAGGACAGGGCGGCGTGTCAGCACCTGATCGGGAGCGACCTCTGGCGCCCCGCACTGGTGGTGAAGTGGGGATAGTGCGGTGATGTGTCAAGGATGTGGTGCTGACGTGTGTGTGGTGTGGGAGGGGGATCTTGCAATATGAGTGATTTGTTTGGAGCATCACCGGGTTCGTGCGCCCTTTTTTATAAACCATCCATAATGGCATGTACCGCATGGATGATCTCTTGCCAACCTGGGGGTGCGAGGCGTCTGTGAGGGTATCTCGCCTGTGACCATCTGACCAAGTCCACCAGACTGGCCACTGACTGGCACCCTGGCTGTACCCCAGTCCATCAGTCCTGCCCGTCGTCCGTCGCTACTACCGTCGGTAGGCAGAGCTACGGACCTGCCCCGTCGCCCCTAACGTCGGTGGGCAGAGCTACGGACCTGCCCCGTCGCCCCTAACGTCGGTGGGCAGAACCACGCGCCTGCCCAGTCGGCCGAGACTGTCGTGTTCGCCTGCGACTGACCTAGACGGCGGCTGCCTTGCAGGGTCGCATGCTGACGGAGACACGGCGCGCGCGGCCGCAGCGCAACGCGCCGGAGCAGGGCATGTGCGCCATCTGCGGCCGCCACCAGACGCGCCTGCTCGACCACATGCGGCTGATCCACCGGCGGCGCCACTGCCAGTGCTGCGGTCGCGATGTGTCGGTGGCCACCTGGCTCAGCCACAGACGCCGCCGCGAGCAGCCCGAACGGTGGGTGGACGGCAGACCGGACGGCCCGCCGCCGGACCGCAGCTGGTGGCGGCTGTACCGGGCCGGCTCACACCGGTGTTAGATTGCGGTGATTTGAACCGGGGCGACGGAAGACTATCACTTCACGACGCGTATAACGGCGACGGTGATTTGGTAACGTGATCGGTCACATCGAATGTGGCGAGGAAATGCGAAACGCAGCGAGTATTGAGTCTGGAACGGTCGACCTCCCGGTCAGGCTCAGTGGTCCACCCCTAGGCTGTGGGGGTTCGGGGCTCGGAGACAGGAAGGCTGTGGAATGCGAGGGGGGGGGGACGTTTGTCGGAGCGTGTCCGATGCAGCGCATCTGCAAGGTGTCCCAGTTGTCACTGTGGTCTTGGAGACGCTATCAACACCTGGCTGTTGCAAAATCGCAGGGGTTTCAATGCTCACTGTCAACACTCCTTCATTAAGCAATGCTCCTACACAGGACCCTGAACATACTGTGATTTGACGACGTTCGACTCCCTAACCAGCTTCGCCGAATGACTCCGGCAGTGGAGGCGCACGCAAGCCTCCTGTTTACGACACACACAGTATTCGATCTCACAGTTAGAGCCTCTCTCGTCGTAGGTCGTGACAATTCCAAAACACGACCACGCCGGGCCAGGATTTTGAACCCGGAGCCTGACGAGCGCGCCGCGGGTCACTGTTCTCACATGCCGCGTGACTCGCATCCACAGGCTGTTTTGTGACCAGTGCGACACGATGTTCAGCACCCCATCGGCGCTGCGCGTGCACATGCGGCAGCACAGCGGCGAGCGACCGTTCCAGTGTGACGCCTGCCAGATCGGCTTCGCCAGGAAGAAGCAGCTGGTCACGCACGTGCACAGGAAGCATCACAACGGCGGCACGTGACGGGGCCGGCACTGGCGCCACGTGTCTGGGGCGTGTCCGCGATTAACGGCGTCTGCCGCGGCGAGGAGACTCCCTCCGGCGCAGGCTCACCGGCGGGCGGGAGGCGGCCGGCGGGGGAGGCGAGCACACGTGGTACTGCCGCGCAGTGATAGCTTTCTCCACCGGCCGGCGGCAGCTGTGGGAGGCGCGGGTGTCACTGCGCGGCTGGGCTAGCTGCCAGAGATCTGACACGGGTCAGACGAGCCGCCAATACCTGCGGGATCGCCTCTTCGCTGCCGTGAGCGATTCTCGTGGGACATGTTATGAGGTCATGCGTTGCATTCCTTTATCGCCTGTCACCGGTTGTCATGTCATATTGCATGCAGTTTGTGGGCTGAGACTGCAAAACGTGGTATCCGAGTTCGAAGTTGTTTTAATGGTGCACAATTCGTATTGCTTGCGGCGATATCGGGCAGCCAGCTACTCAAGTGTGGCAGTGCTGGTGTCTCGATCAAAAAAGTGTTTGCCATGTCTGTGATAGTTGCAAAACGGTGTCCATGGTGAATAGAATGATGACGCGAGGTACTGAATTTATATAGCCATCGAAAGCAAATGGATAGTTCACCAATCGTATGAATTGTTAATTTTTCATACATTAACTAGATGTGTCGCATTTGAAAGGACTCCGCCCACAACAGTTACCTCATCTTATCTAAAGAATGAGAAGAGAGTGCTGATTCTAAATAACAGTTTCTGAACCCGTCCAAACCCTCAACAACTGGAATGTCACTTGTGTTCTTTGCCTGCGAGTGTAATTGACACACTACTGCCGAATGAAATGGACACGCTGCCATCATGAGCTACCGGCGGCCCCGCCTTTCACCGTGCCTCTGCTTGGACAACAACCGTTCAGAACTGTTGTCTGTTGTAGCGTAAATAGATATCTGACAGCAGAGGCAAGCCACATGCAATAAGTGAATATTCCGCCACTCTCCGGGCGATTTTGTGAACTGGTGTGACGGGGTAAAGGTAGCAGGCTACCTGTGAGGGCACGTAATGACGCGTCATCAAGCCCGCGGCAGCTCACAGCCCATCAGTCAGCAGGCGAGCAATGTTCGCTGTAGATATGACACCTGACCCGACGCCTGCATGCTGCCTAATTCTATTGAAGACGGAGGTAATCGAAGACGCGCGTACTTACGATCGTCAAAATGGCACCCGATTTACATTCAGCTCCACGTTCATATTTGCCATTCAGGGGACACTTCGGATTGGTCTGAAAAGCTACACACAGAAAAGTTGGGTACCATAGTTATCGCTGCTATCATATCTTCGTCCATTTGTGCTGCCTCTATTGTTGCTTCAACGTTGTGTTTATCGATTAGTAAAAAATCCCCTTATCTCAAATGCATTCACTTTTATTAAACTGTTGTCCGCTGTTTGGATTGTTTGATCTGAATATGAATCTCAATTTGTTGCCAGCTAGCTTGAACGGCATTTATTCGCACACAAACCAGCATGCGCATGCATACGCACGTGACTGAGTGGGACTACTGACCATTAACCCTCTGAACGAAGGGGTGAAAGAGGTTTACGCGATATGAGATTTCGCTGGAATTTGGTCCAAATTCGCGGGAACTCTGAGCTCGAACAAATTGTGGCATTGACGTCCCGTGATGGCCCGCTTGACCTCTACTTCTACGTCACCGATGTGAAATGCCTGACCTGTCGAGCCAGGGCCGCTGCCCGTCCTATTGAGCCAGGACCGCCGCCTGCCCTGTTGAGCCAGGACCACTGAATGACAGTTCGAGAGATCACCCATGACCAGGGTTTCTCATAAATCCAGGTTTATAGCGTCTTCAAATAGAGAACCGGCAAGAGGAAGAATGCAGCCATGTGGGTAACTCGATTCCTCAACATTGAACACAAACAGTTCCGGGTCACCTCATTGTCCGTTCATTTGGTTCGCTTTCGGCGAGAAAGACACAAGGTTCAAAATCGGGCCGTGACGTCCGACGAAGTCTGGGCACAATCGTGGAAGTCAGAGCATGCAATGGAGGGGCCCCGCTCTACCATCGTCAAAGAAATACGTGGACAGAGCACGCGCCATGAAGTCATGCACGCGAGAATCTTTGATTACTAGGGCGTCATTTTTGACCAAGCGGTGCTGGATGGAAAAGTCTCATGAAGTCAGGGGACTTCTCGACAGCCCAGACTATGGTCCGCCGGGTGACAAAAAAGAAACGCCTTCAGCTGAATGCATAAATGTGGGAACGGGGGGAGGGGAAGGGGGCAGGGGGATATTCCACACCCCACACACTTTTTAAAGTGGGGGTGGGTGGGGATGAGGGCGACTCCGCCCACGTCGGGTCCGCCAGCGCCTCAGCCAGCCTCGTCCGTGCTCCAGCCAGCTTCGCCGGTGCTCCAGCCAACTCCGCCTGCGGTCCCGACAGCCGCACCGGCTCCTCCGACGGCGCCGGTCCCGCCGCTTGCGGTCCCCGCCGTCAGCCGGCCGGCGTGCCGCGACCACAGAGCGCTCCCGACGCCCACCTCGTAGGACACAGGTCCGAGCGTGCATCTCCTGCGTAATGCATCATCATCATCACGCTCATCTATTCAGGCCGCCGCAGCTCCCCTGTGTACGGATACGCAGCCAGCTTCAGCGCACACCGCTGCGGTCGAGCAGCCGCTAGGCTCGACAGGCTCCTGTCGGGGCTCAGGATGCGGGAGAGGGCGTGATTATTTACCACGAGTGTGAAGTGGCAGCCGTGGAGGAATTGGTGAAATCGACTCAGTCCGTACGACACCACCTCCGCCTCCCGCTCGACCTGTGCGAGCTCCCTCTCTGTCGCTATCAGAGTCCGAGACGGTGGACGGGGTACAGGACTGGTCGTTCTGCTCCATCCGGCATCACGTGCATCAGGGCCGCTCCCTCGCTGACGCTAATGACATCCGTTGCCAGCTGCGACGGTAGTGCCGGGTCATACCGCTTCAGCACCGGTGGGCATGTCAGCATGCCTTTCACCTTTTTCACCGCCGCTGAGCACTATTGCGTCCACGGCCATGGGACGTCCTTCTTCGTCAGCTCGCACAGCGGTGGACAGATCGGGCAGCAGGTGTCCAAAGTACGTGATCGAGCCGAGCAGCGACCTCAGCTGGCTGACATCTTGCGGTTTCAGTACCTTTGGTATCACTAATGTTCCGCCATCCGTCGGTCTGATGCCATCAACTACCACCTTCCAGCCAAGAGAATCGACCTCTATCGACTTTATCGACTATCGACCCACGCCGCGGGAGGCATACCCTCATCCTCCCCCTCTAACGCCAGCTCCGCGGCGGCGCCTCCTCCCTCCTCCGCGTCCTGTTGAGGAGCCTGAGGTATCGAACCAGCGTCGCGCCTCAGCACAACGCTCCTCCTCAGCACGCCGCCCCTCCCCAGCAGGTCAGCCGCGTCCAGTGCTGCGTACGACCGAGCCCGCGCCAGCTGACCCAGTCACAGCGAACCCTGCGGCTGCGAGCCTCCCTGAGCACGAAGCCGCCCCATCAAACTCGGAGAGCCTCTCTCCCACCCCAACACGTCGCTGTTGGTCCACTTCACCCGTGCTGGCGTCCCAAGAAGCCCCATCCGATGCCTCAGCCGCCGCGGTCCAGACGCCAACCCCCCGGGGCAGTCCCTCAGTCGAACGCCGAGCCCGACCCATGACGCGCTCCGGCCGTCGCGCCCCTCGATCGCCCTCTCACTGCCGCTCCGCTGGATGGTTTCCCTCCCTGCCCGAAATGAATCCCCAGTTCGGTGAATTCTTGCTCCAGTGGAATACGAGATCTCGGGTGTCCCATTGGGCAGAATTCAAGGAATATATCATCCAAAACAAACCATTGATATCCGCCGTTCAAGAGACCTTATTTAACGACTCGGATTCTTTTAATTATAGCTTTAAGATCAATGATTACTGCCTCTACACGCGTAACGTACATGAAGCCCTGCGCCAAGGCCGTTCGGCCTTGTTTGTCTCAAATAACCTTTTACATCGTCAAGTTCATTTTAATGCTTATTTCAATTCAGTTGCAATGAACGTAAAATTAGCACAGTTAGATCTTACTCTTCTTTATATATACGTTAGCCCCACTTGCCCTGCCTCCTTAGCGATCTCTCCGCTTTACTCGCACAAATTCCCTCGCCCTGTCTCCTTAGGGATCTGAACGCCCATCATCGCGCATGGGGTTGTAGCACGACAAAAGTAAGGGGGAGAGTTTTGCACACACGAACACTCATGACCTCAAATGCATCAACGAACTGACACATACGCATGCACATCACCACGGAGACACAGTGACATACTCTGTTATAGATCTAGCCTTAACAACACCACGCATAGCACCACTCTTTACGAACAATGTTCAATCAGACACGCTTTTTAGCGACCACTACCCGATCCACATAAATTTAGAGGTCCCATCAGGGCAAATAGACTTCAATTTTCTTCCCTGATGGAATGTTCGCAGAGCGGACCGGGCATGTTTCCAAAATTATATAGATGATGCACACCCTTCAGGCACAACTCCCGACATCCTAAAACACTATTTTAGCCTCAGTGCACCAGTTCGTTCCACACACTCATGGTCGACCAGGGCACAAACATGCACCCTGGTGGAGCGATGAGTGTCAGCGCGCAGTAGCCCTGCGACGCCGGGCTATGCGTGCCTTTCGTAATTGCATTTGCGTAGGTCATGAATAGGAGTTTCGCAGAGCTAAACATCAAGCCGATATAATCATTAAACGCGCAAAACAGGAAAGATAGGATCAATTTTCAGATACGTTCAACCGCTTAACCCCTCTATCTGAGATACGGTCACCGATTCGGTGTTTCACAAACAAACGCATGCCACATTATAAAACCCCGCACCTTGTGGTCAGCAACCAACACTACAGCATCCTATTCGAAGTCGCCACAAAATTTGCCACACACTTCGCCCGTGTATCATCATCCGAGCAGTGTTCCCAACAGATCACTAGCACACTTAATGCCACACTGCTCGCACTCAACTTCACGTCTGCTAACACAGACATTCAACGTACTCTTCACACCCTATGAATTGGACCTTGCGATCAGTAAGTGCAGAAACACTTCTGTCGGTCCAGACCAGTTAGCCTACCCCTTTAGAAATCTTACTAGGTCTGGACTCGCCAACCTTCTGTCGGCTTTCAACGATATGTAGGTTAACGGCTCCTTCCCTCCCTCATGGCGCTCTAGCACACTTATCCCTATACTTAAGCCTTCTAAGCCTCCCTCTGACCCTTCGAGCTATTGCCCCATCTCTCTTACCAGCTGTGCTTCTAAAATATTCGAACGAATGGTCAACGGACGTATCAGGGTGTTCCTTGAGTCAAATGCTTTTTTCACCTTTTCAGAACGGCTTTCGTCCCGGCCGCTCCACGGCGGACAACCTGGTCCATATTATAGATTCAATTCAGCCCGGATTTCAGACTAAATCTACTACGGTAGCACAATTCGTGGAATTAAAGGCCGCTTTCGACAGGGTGTATAAGAGTGCCCTCCTCATTAAATTACATGAGATCGGAGTGCACACACTTATTCTTCTCCGACGGCGTGGGATCACGGTCTTCCTCAGAACACGTCTTTTCTCCAGCCCTCTTCCTTGTGATGATAGATGATGTTTTCAATAATATTAATAATATTTCTCCACATTTTCAGTATTTTTTATACGCGGACGACCTGGCTGTGTGGCATACGCACGCTAACGTCGGTCGCGCACTGCACTATATACAATTAGCTGTAAATGATATTCACACCTGGTGTGCACGGTGGGGACTGCAGATTCCCCCGCAAAGTCAGCTTTAATTATCTTCTCTAGGCGAAATAATGTTCAACCTCCCACCTCCCTGAAACCTAATGGTGAAATAAGTCCTCTAGTTGACGGTTTTAAATACCTTGCAAAAACATTAGATCGTCGTCTTACTTTCAGTGCTCATTTTGCTGACCGTAAGCAACGCTGCGCCAGACGATTGAACATAATGAAATGCATAGCAGGGCGGGAGTGAGGTGCCGACAGACGCACTCTCTTCCGCCTCTATACCTCCCTGATACGCCCGATCTTGGACTACAATGGGTTTCTTTTCGATGATATTTCCTCCAAAAAAGTTGAAACCCTGGAGACCATCCAAAACGCAGTCCTCCGCATAGTGAATGGTGCACTTCGCACCTCCCCGGTCCCAAATCTACTCGCGGACACGAATATCCCCTCCCTATCACACCGACGAAAATTACAACTTCTCAGATTTTACGCACGCGCCACAGCGCACGTTGGTAACCACACATACAACGCCCTCGCACACCTCGCCCCCCCCCCCCCCCCCCAACCGCACGCTTACCAACGCGGAACTCCAGCATCCAACCATCAGCACTCGTGTTATTGGGGCGCAGCGAGCGCTTAATCTCCCCGACATTCCCTGGAACCCAACTCCCAGTCCCCGACCCTTTTGGGGCGACCCTACACCTAAAGTAATACACCTAACGTAATATTTTTGTTTAAACACAAAAAACTTAACGTATCAGAAACCGAAGTACATGCACTCTTCGCTGAGTTCAAAGGAGAATATGACCAGCACACATTTATTTGTACTGACGGCTCCCGACGCGATGGTCGCAAAGGAGCTGCCTTCGTAAATCATAATTACCACAAATCAAGCCGCCTGTCAAATTACAATGCTGTGTATACGGCTGAACTAACAGCAATCCTGGCAGCCCTGCCTTACATCAAGCAAGGTAATCTACAAAGGGCAGTCATATGCACCGACTCTCATTCGTCGTTACAAGCTCTCTTCACTCTCTATAATTCATCCCACCCAACTTTAAACGGCTTACGACGAACGCTCTGCTCCCCTCCTCAACACACTCACGTAATATTTCTCTGGATACCTGGACACGGAAATATTCATGGAAACGGTACTGCTGACGAAGAAGCAAAACGAAGTCTCATGCTTCCGGAACGTAATCATCCTCATTGTCCCGTTCCTGATATTCTAGCGGCTATCAACTTACATTTCTGTCCCTTTCTCCAATCCGAATGGGATCAACGCGCTCATCACCACCTTCACCCAATCAAACCCATACTGCAGCACTGGCCGACAATTAATCAAGATAATCGCCTAAAGGAAGTGCTGCTAGCCAGACTGCGTATCGGTCACACCGAAATCACCCCCTGCCACCTTTTTGAACGCACTCCTCCTCCGCTGTGTCATCGCTGCGGTATCCCTTTCACAATAAATCACTTCCTCCTCGTGTGTCCTGTATATCAACGATCAAGGCGGCCGCTCATCAATTACACCAAAGCTCATCGTCTTCCATTCAATCTCCATTCTGTTCTCGGTGATTCTTATCCTGATTTGATCGTTCTCCTCTTTGAGTTTTTACAGAGTACAGGATTATATATTTTCATTTGAATAAAGGGTTTTCCCGCATAATTTGGCAAAGATTGCAGGTTTTTCCCTATTGGCTAGGAGTCCTGGTTTCCTTAGTTAGGACTTTCCAGGACTCATCATCACATCATTAACATCACACAACACCACAAGGTCGTGCCGAGCAGCGGAGCCCGGGGCTGATCTCCCCGTTGCTGCGATGAAGCGGGCCGGCACCCATCCATCACACAGGTTGCCGACAAGTCAGCTGAGCCAAGGCCATCGCTGACACGAACACACCACGCAGGACGCATGGCACCCCAGGAGTAAGGCGGAAGGGCCGGTGAGGAGGCTCACTTGTTCAAACGTACTGAATGCGTGTTATGTCGTCATGAAATAAATATATCTGTCGCTGCGGTCTGATTTACTTGCTATGACCTTGCTGGACAAAAATGAGCCAGCTTAACGTAACGTCACTTGCAAATACCCTCCCCCTCGCTTTGCGCCGGACAGCATAAGCCGGTTTAACGTAATCGTTGCCTGGCCTTTTGCCGGAAGTAGATCTCCCTCACTCGGAGGTGACTAGGTCCGTCGAGGGAAAAAAGAGGTCTCGCATTGGCCCACTATAAAAAAATGCAATGCATGTTGCGCCCAGACTGCATTGTCAAGACGCCGCGCACCACATTGCACTGCTAGCATATATACGCTGATGGCAAACGATCAAGCATGTCCCAAAGGGAGGTCGTAGAAAAGTTCTAGAACGGTCCGGCTTTGAACACAACACCTTTCATTTCTGGATCCGGCACGCTGATAAAGCGATAAAGGCTACTTGATTTGCGGCGAGTGTCGGAAAGTTCACGGCGTACCGTGCACGCAAATATTGACCCGATACGCCGTGGGAGTTTTGCTTCTCTTTACAAAAATTGGCAAGAATTGCCTGAACACAAGTAATATTTTGTTTGGTGCCGGTTTCATCGAATTGATCGAGTAGAATTGGACTCACAGCTCCATGAAAAGCAGGCTGTCAAGCCACAAACCCTGCGGGCTAGTAGGAAAGGTACGCCGTAGAGCGATTGAGATACCCATATGCTTCGGCGGCGGGCTGTGCCGGCCAGCCCGCCAGAAGGATGAAGGTGGACGGCCACCAATACGTCGCCAATACAGCCCGTCGCCAGGCGGCTCCGCGGAGTCTGGGAGCATGTGTTGGCGAAATCTGTCCAGAGGCTCTAATTCGCCATTCACTAAAGGCCCAAAGCTTATCGCCGCTAGCGAGTTTTGATGATATCCGAAAAAAACGGGGTTGATATAACACGAAATTCATGAATGTTTTCATACTTAATTTCAACAAATTCTTAAAACAGACATTTCGTGTCAACCATAGGCTGGATGTGATTTTGGCTAATGACCTGGCTCAAGCATTGAAAAGTGAATGTTGCAAACCAAAACTAGGGCCTAAAATTGTTGTCGTTTCCGTCCCATGTTTTTTCAGAGTGGTATTCTACCACTCTAAAAACGCCCCTTGTGACCCTCTAACTGTGTCACGGCCTGCTAGACGCTCGGCTCTTGATCAATACGACGTTCGTCAAAGGGGGCCTTTGCACGACATGTTTATATTGTCTGCAACACTGAGATGGCATCGAGCTTAGCACACTGAAGGTAGAACCACGTTACAAGCGACTCTCATTCTCCGACAGCGCTTAGCAGCCTTTTCTGTGTATGACCATGTAGCGCATTGTGCTTTAACGTAAAGGAAGCACAATCAACTTATTATAGCTGCACCTAGACTTAATTTCCAGAACTTGAACCCATTTCTATCACACATGGTTCGATATCCGCCTTCGGCGCACATCTCGACTCATGACGCGGCCGAAGAGATTCACAGGCATGTTTCCGCAGCCATCAAGGAGAGTTTGGGTAGCATGCGAGACACAACACAAAACATTGACGACACCGGTGTTGGTGAATCGTCCCGGTGCCAGCGTCGCGTAAGCCTTCATGATGCCCCAAAGCTCCCTCCCCGGAAACGCTGCCAGGGCCTCTACGGGGATGGGATGAAGAGCTCTGGGTTTTGGGCCCGCAGCTGGGCGTACTCCGGGAGCTGCGTCGGCGGCACGGGCAGGTGGTCGCCCACTGGCTTGAAGCCGCCCTCATCGGCCTGGTAGTCGACGCGGAACTTCAGACCCTCGGGCGAAACAAACTCAAAGCTGCCGTCCTTGCTGATGCTACCCGTCTCCGGCTCGGGTCCCGGGAAGCTGCGGCCCACCTCCTCCACCTGTGAAGAGACACACAACATCAGCCCCTCACTGCCTCGGGTCCCGAGATAGTGCGGCCCCCGCCTCCACCTGTGAAGAGACACTTAGCATCAGCCCATCTCCGGATTGGGTAGGTACGGTCCCCCACCTCCAACTGTGAAGAGACACATAGCATCAGCCCGTCTCCGGCTCGGGTTCCGGGTATGTGCGGCCCGCCTCCTTCACATGTCATAACTACATGCAAGGATTTCAAAGGTCTTGTAGCAAACTAGCTCTAAGGACCACACGAACACCAACACGCGAACAGGTGAATATTTATGGCTGAATCCAAAAGCAGGATAGGCTGAATTCCCGCGAGCCTTAGATTCTCAACAGGGGTTACTTGCATCCCTGCGGTTACCTTCTGTTCGTTGTCCTGTTCGTATCCGTACTCGTAGTTGCCCCGACCGTCCTGTACAAACCGCTGTGAAATCAGCCGGATCTTGGGCAGACTGAACTGCTCCACCACCACGTTGCCGAACTCGTCAAAGACCTGCTGTGGCGCCGCAGCGGCCACAGCCACCAGACAGGCGAGCATAAACTGCCGGACAGGAAGTCGGTCAGCACAAATCGCCGGACACAGTGGTAGACTCAATAAAAATGGCTAGGGAGAGCGGCATGGATGGTAGAGACTGCCGAACGAACGCCAGAGTCAATACCAACTGCCAGGACTCAGAATTCAATCTAAAGACATAGACTCTGACCCATGACATATGAAATGGGTAGACTCGAATTCTTCGGCTGACTCAAAACACCAATGGCAACACGTGGACTCAGGTTCTCAGACTCGGTCTGATGGCTGCTTTTAAGGCCATGCTTGGTGAAAGTTCCAAGTAAGATTTAAGTGGAAAATTTCGTGGCTTGGGCAAAGCAAACATGGCTGTAAGTATGGAATATGCTAGCATGTATACGGAATCGGTAACAAGTACAAGTTTTGGTTTGTGTACAAGTTTCAGGAAAATTATGGATGTGGGTACGGAGATAGGCAACGTTGATAAACTCTGGGTGTTTACTTTGCCAATACTACACGCTGGGAAAGCTTATGCTTCATTTTGTCACGATTAGCTTCACTCATTCTCGTTCTGCAACTATGAGCGTAAAAGAGTTGGTTTAAGTGGAAACTTTTCGAAGACTCCCCTATAATAAAGAACAAAAATGTTCGAAGAAATGCAAACGGATGGGTAACGGGTGAAAATAGCTGATTGGAAATCGCTTCATGCGTTGCAAATGGTTTGAGCAAAATACATCGTGCCCGTGAAAGCCTCAGTGAATGAACGGAAACGTTGGTCAAGAGCGCAAACGGAAATGTTGGTCAAGAGTGCGACCGGAAACGTTGGTCAAGAGCGCGAACAGAAACGTTGGTCAAGAGCGCGAACGGAAACGTTGGTCAAGAGCGCGAACGCAAACGGTGGTCAAGAGAGCAAATAAGGCCTTAGCATCATTAAAAGCACACATTTGATGAGCCCTTTCAGTCAACAGCTCATTAATCCTTGCTTGTAACGACGTCTACACCATGCGATCACTTCGAAAGCCAATGCACTTCCCAGAAAATTAAAGTAGCGTGGCGGGCGGACCTAAAGAATGAAGTGAAAGAGCATAGTGTTTTTATCGTGTCATGTCTGAACTTGTCCCCAATACAGTGCTAAAACTTGAGAGAAATAAACCCAAATACAGTTTGATTAGCGAAGATAAAAGTTGTAAAGATAACAAAGAGAATTGCTGCTCAGATCCCGATTTTCGTCACAATTCGCGCTGGAACGATGGAACTTATACATTCGATTCCAACGATCTGCCCTACTCACCATTTTCATGATGAACAGCTCCTCGGTTGCCCACAACGTTCGAACCGGTGACTGCACATGGTTTACAGGCTGCTTAAGTACCGGGATTCTTGGCATCTGACCAAAGCGATGTGAGGGGGCGAGGAGACAGGAACGACGCGGAGGCGTCCCGTGGCGGATTACCGACCCGTGGTGGCTTTCTTTAGCCGCCAGAAAACCGGTTTGCCGCACAGTGATGTGTTCGATTTATGTGGAGATCTTCGGGCACGGACTGGTAGTCGGGCAGAGCCAGGTAGTCACGACTGCTGCGTGCCAGGCCGACACTCTGGCCAACCACTAACTGACGGTTCCATCGGCCGACACGTTTTGGTCAGCCGCTAACTGACGGTTCCGCAGGCCGACACGCTTTGGTCTGCCGCTAACTGACGGTTCCGTTGACCGACACGCGTAAGTCAACCGTTAAATGATCGTTCCCTTGGCCGACACGCTTTGGTCAGCCGTTAACTGGCGGCTCTATTGCATTATATTCTTTGGTCAGCCGCTAACTAACCGTTTCATTGGCCGACACGCGTCAGCCACTAACTGACTGTTCCATGAGCCGACACGTTTTGGCTAGGCGCTAACGGACGGTTCCATTCGTCGGTCGGGCAGGCCAGTGCCCAAGCCGCGGCCACGTTAGTGTAGACCTTAATGTTAGCTGTGTAACCGGCACCAGTCGCTTTCCAGCGGCGCGTCTGCGTACCGTCAGTGAGTGGCACGTCCGCTGGCGCAGACAACCGCCGACTCTGCAGCACACCGCCCTGGACGCCTCAATTGTAGCGATGTAAAGGGCCGTTTCCGACGTCTCAGACAATATGCAACATTAGGCCCGTGGTCGTGCATGGAAGAAAGCGAATCGAAACGCCTATAAGTCCCCTCCCCTCCCTGCCACCCTCAGTGCTGGAGAGGGCCCGGCCCGGCCCTGGAGAAGGTTTGCCCCTGCTCACGTCACCCTCACCTGGCCGAACACGCTCTGCGCAGTGCCGGTAGACGCGGATGCGATTAGTGTGCTCCGCCGTACGGTGACGTCACACCGGGCTTTCCTGCGACTCGGACGGCATGTCGTCTGCTTGGGCCGGATATGGTCTCCCGGAGGTGGCAGAGCCTGTGTCGCGAGGGTGCCGACACGTCGAGTCAGGGTGGACGGGGACGCCTCTTCGCCTCACCCACACGCCGGCTGACCGTGCGCCGCGCTGATGCAGACAGACGCGCGCTGCTCAGCCCGTTCAGCCCCAGATGGGTAGGAGCTATTCACGGATGTAGGTGGATTATCAACGTCACTCGACATCTAACTGCCTGGGACGATGTCAGATTACATTACAATCCTGGTCCACTCCCTCCATGGCCGCTGATTGCTATTGGTAGCCAATGGTCTGGTCCTAAAATCGTATGTTTTTGGGGCGCCCAGAGCTCGGGAGATTTTCATTTCGCTTTTTATTAAAAACAGACATCAGACCATTTTGAATAGATGCCTTTATGGAATCGGAGCTCACGCTAAACAAGCTTGCTATGTGAGCACTGAGCACTACCATGCAATCGTTGCAATGCCAGGTCAACGACAGAATTTGGCGGCGAAGGTTTGACGAGCCGCGATGCTCGGCGCGGTCCGTCCTGTCCTCTGGCGTCATCTGATCTTTACTACGGCCGCTGCCACCGACCGCAGGTAATACCTGTCAAAGGCGAATAGCGAGTTCCTAAAGCGACTCGAACTCACCTGGCCACGGCTGGAGGAATCGGACTGCAAGTGCTCCAACCAACGGAGCCTTCAGGACGGACACTGCGTTTGCCTTCGTGCGCATTATCGTCTTAAATGTCTTAAGTTTATTGCTTCATTTATGCCTTGCATTGTTGCGGTTTTTGGCTGGCGGTAGGAACAAACACGGTTTCATACCGGGAGGGTATTCTATTGTTTATATCTGTACTGTATATGCGACGAATACGCACTCGCTCTTCTGTGGGTCGGCGAGAATACGGTTAATATAGAAGACGAGTATTGATAGAGCATTCACACGATGCCAGAAGATTAAAAAGCATGCCGCATAATCCAGCCACCACAGCGCAACCAGACGTCACATGACTCCGCCACCTGACGTCTGGTAGTCCTGTGGTGATCTTGACGTCACATGACTCCGCCACCTGACGTCTGGTAGTCCTGTGGTGATCTTGACGTCACGTGACTCCGCCACCTGACGTCTGGTAGTCCTGTGGTGATCTTGACGTCACGAACCCTATTTTTCATCTTGCTCTAGTGAGTTTGCAGAAGAAAACGTCTTGGAAAAATCCTTGGAAAGCTAAAAGTCTGCATAGGGAAAAAGGCAAATGAAACATTACAGATCAGTTACATAATCTGGTAACCTAATGTGGCCAACGACTTCGTGCTCTGAAAAAAACAGGGAGCTCTCGACATGTTTCAGCTGGTATGCCATTGCAAGGAAATTGAACATTTGAACATTGGTGGATGATTGGAAGAAAAGACGTGCATTGCGATCGACCTTACATACCTGCCTTCCATTACACATCTCGTAGATAGAAAGTCAAATGTTATTGTAACAGCTTAGTGCACAACCATATTTCGTCAAGTAAAACAGGCTGGTCGAAATCTTTGACTGTAGATTTTATGCCATGAATATTGCTCAATGAGCCCGTCGCACTCAATGCTTTGCGCCACATTCATTTCTCACAGGATCATTTAAAAGTGCGAACAGTTGCGCTCAATGATGTAACGGCAGCTAAGATGCATTCACCACCAAGTTCATTATGATTAAAGCTGCGAGTTGCTTTCAGCCTTCGTAGTTTTTAAACCTGTCTTTCAAGCGTTGCTCTGTTTTGCAGTTTTCATCCGTTGTCACGTGGGTGAAGAGCATGCCTCCGAATAAAAATAAAACGGGAAAGAACTACATACATTGCAAAAAAATCCCGCCATTATTCATAGCTGGATGAAAGGCAAATTACAAGTGAAAGACGCACGAGTTTGCGGTTCTTCGTCTTGTGCTCCATAAAGCAATTCACGAGCCGCGTCCATGATGCATCTGTTCACTAACCTGAGAGCAGGCACGAAACATATCTTGATGAGCAGACGGGGTGGGGGCAGACACGAAACTTATCTTGCGCTGTCAGGGCTTGATCCTGTTCACGTTGTACTTGCTTTATATCGGGCCACACAGTGATATGTAAAGTAATGAATTGGTTTGCAGCTGGGTGGGGACTTTTTGACATGAATGGCATCTTTGCCTGATAACGGTATACTATGGGTGATAAATAAGCTAAACCGTCACTGATGATGCAGATATTTTAGCTGACGAGGCAATTGCCGGTTTTAAATCATGCCACAGTTGGATTTATGGTCGTTTGAGTGCCATATTGAGTGTATAGTCCCGATAGTGGTGACAAACTGTGTTTTGCACGATAAAAGGAACATTCGCGGAGCAAATCGGCGATGGCCAGTGAGTAAACGATCTACAACGTCTTTTGAGGCAGCAAACAAACTTTCTTCGTGCCTCCTACAGCCAATAAGCTTCCATCAGCCCCTGTAAATGCGAACAATTCGTTCACGAGCGCGGTGCCGTTGTCAACCTGGCAAATAAGCTGAACGTGGTCTTAAGGTTTGTGCTGGATTATTCTTTACAAAGTACCGCACCCAAATGCTACCGATATAATTTTCATTGTACCCGGGTAACACACGCAGATAAATGGTAGAGGGCATGCTCACATCGCCTACTGCACATGAGCATGAAACAAGAAATTGTTCTCAGCCGACCAGACAGAAGTTTCTACAGCCCTAGCCCCGTGGCCTTTCACTTTCTCCACCTCCAGCGATATTGCGTGCAATCATTCCAAGGTGATCTCGCGATGGTGACTCAGACCTCGCGTGCATAAGCTCGATCTCATCACTAACGTTGATTGATTTTGGATCCGGGGCTCATGTTCATAGCCATTCGGGGGCTCCGGCACATCAATTCGTTGACGACATTGCAACAAGATTTTAAAAGGCGGATAACGATACTTTTTCCTAAAAGCCAAACGCAAGTTACGAAAAAAACTTCTCCAAACCTTGTTATAAAGAGGTTGGGCAGGCAATGGCAAAAATAAAATGGGTTCTTCAGTAGACAAATGTCGGTAAACTTGCTCAAACTCCTGCTCGTTCCTTTGAGCTTCCGGCTAAATTGATTTACATATGTTTTCAGTTGCTGTATATGGCAACTCTGCACGTTTGAGACAACGTGACAAGCTGCTTTTGTGCACAACTGTTATTCGTGGTGATGGCAAGTGGCTTGCACCGCATTCGTGGGAATATGGTAACACTGTGCAAGCCTCTTTTCTGTTCATCTTCGACCATGTTCACTCAGCTTTTCTGGTGTTTATTCCCTTGTGCACTTTCTGAAAACGGTAATACTGCAGGTCTTTATTTTCGCGACATCCAAGCGATGTGACACTACCCACACAAACTATCCCTTAGATTTCGGCCTAGTTTGCCGTGGCCAGCGTCGAATTAGATGCGTGCTGTGTCGAATTCCATGCTTGGGGTTACAGACACGGTGGGCAAGCACATAGGCGACCTTCTCGTGCTCAAGGCCAGATTGGGTAACTTATATAATTTTAGATGAATTGTCGGTTTCTTCTTATGTTGAGCTTTAGTTCAACTGAAACGGTTTTTTATGAAATGGTTTTCAATGCACGGTGAAGGCTCGGAGCGAACGACGCAGCCATTTACGCGACTTGTAAAGGACGATAAGTGCGTGCGATCGATCAAAATGCATTTACCATGCAGACAGTGTTGCATAATCCTAAAAAAATTAATAACTGGCTTTAAGGATGAAACGACTGGTTTCAGAGTTACGGCCACAGCTCACAGCAGAGTGAGACGATCGCGCCCGGTCGCCCAGTACCGGCCAGTCGACCCATGACGCGGCGCCGTGCGTCATCCGCTATTGTTCAAATTCGACTGGTGACCAGCCTAGAAAAGATAACATTTCTTCAGTCCGAACAATGATATATTGCCTTTAATTTCACATTGCTTTAAAGTGAATCGAATGAACGACCTTTTTCAGAAAATGAGATTAACTGTCCCACCAAGCCACATGTACCTAAATGACCTCGAATGTTGTATTGACTTATGTTTTATAGCAAGACAGTCGTTTTGCCTTCTGATGCGCTTCCCCACAAACGTTCACTCCGCAAGCGGGCCGCGCTGACGTAAGATAAAACATGGATTTCGTGCTGTTATCACGTATTTTTGTTCGTTCCTGCCTCTTTTTCAGCATGCTGTACAGCTGTAAAATCCGTAGAAACGTGTTTTGGACGGACAATAACCACATTGTTATTCCTCAAATTCGAAGAGGGTGCCGTCTTGAAGTGCAACTATCCGTGGTCGATTTGCTGTGTAATGACCTCGTCGTTAATTACTACTACTACCTGTTAACATGCCGAGTCAGGTTAAGATAGAATAGATTTCACTCTGGCTGTCTATGGTGTGGGTGAGAAAAACGCGCCTTTGCACATTTTGTTTGCGTATCATCTATAGTCCTAACCACCAGCCTACGCAGCACGGGGCGATACGCGACTGTAGTTCCGAACGCGACCGTAGCCTGACTATGGGTACACGAAATGTGTTGAACGCCCTCTCAGCCACGACGATTGTGCAGACGCGCCTCCACCCATCTGTCTCAAAAGCGGCATTTTTGCCTAGTAACGAATATAACATTTCGAAGTGGGGATAAAGCTAAACATGTTTGCTGAAAAACACGTTCAAACGCGTCGCAAGGGCGGGAAAGTTCTTGCATGGCGTGTAACATGACATGTTTTTAGCATTTTTATTTTCATGTGTAACTTCAGTTTCCAATCGTTAACAATAAAACTGCACACGTTGTTGAAAAGTGCAGACCCGACGTACCACACGCATATCAATGCGTATAATTTTTTGACACGGGTTACACGTGCCCTGGAGGCTCTCATCTCCTTGAATACGCAATTTTTGTGTCACATCTAACCATAAAAATGCTAGAATAGTTTGATATGGATTTGCCGATCAAAGCCATTTATAGCACTCGATCCCACCCAAACCAGCACAGGGTCTAGTATCACCAGAGCCAGCGCAGCGTCCGGCCTGCACAGAGGCCGGGCTCACCAGAGCCAGTGCAAGACCGAGGAGACCGTGCAAATATCAACTCTGAGCTATTTCGATCTTTTTTTAAAAGATTCTAAGCAATTATTTTAGCGGAAAAGTGTGGTGTCGTGGGTACATTTTCACACTCCGGAGGCCTAGCCCAAAACTGGGGACATCTAACCATGGGGACACTCCCCCGTAAAAGTATACTCAGTTCGTTCTTATGGAACATCAGCTGAGAGGCATGAGGAAGGCAAATAATAATCCAAGAGGTGTCCGCGTGCTGTGGCGTTACCAGTGCGAGAATCCTTCCTCGAGATGATTTGCGCGTAGTGTGTTCAGTTTATTAATTTCATGACATTATGAGCGTAGTGTCGGGACCACCACACCTCAAACATATGCACCGAAGAAATCTATAGACTGTCGTCACACAACGCCTTCAACAGGAGTACCTGCGAAAGAGGCGCGGGAGACAGGTCAGAAGGAAAGCGGCTGAGTCTACCACTTTCTGAGAAACTGCCGTTCGCTCTATGAGTGTTGACTGAATAGAACCAATCAAAAATGGATATGGTGGGGGACGCCTCCCTCAATCTTCGTGGGCCCCTCCAAATATTTCTCATGGTCGAGAAGTGAGCCATAATTTGGCCAAGGGATTCCGCGGACATAATTGCTGCTGAGGGGAAGCTGAGTTGCTTGCTCGACCACCCGCCCTGCTCGATCATCTGTCCTTGCCCGACTGCCCGTCCCTGCTCGGTAGCCTGTCCATGCCGGACCACTCGTCCCTGCCGGTCAAACCTTCTTAGCATGACAACCCGTCCCTGTTTGACCCCTCACGCCTGGGCGAACGTCCGTTCCTGCTCGACTGCTTATCCCTGCTCGGCCACCGTGACCTGCTCGAACACCTGTCTCTTCTCGACCACCCTGACCTGCTCTAACACCTGTTCGTGCTCGACCTCCCTGACCTGCTCGAACACCTGTCTCTGCTCGACCACCCTGACCCGTTCGAACTCCTGTTCGTGCTCGATCGTTCTTCACTGTTGAACCAACCGTTCCTGCTAAACCACACGTCCCCGTCCGACTTCATACCCCTGCTCGATTACCCGTCCCTGTCCGACTACATATCCCTGCCCGATTACCCGTCCCTGTCCGACTACATATCCCTGCCCGATCACTCGTCCCTGCCAAGCCACCTGTCCCTTCCGGATTCCACGTTCCTTTCCGACTACACGTCCGTTCCCGGCCACCAATCCGTACCCGAAGATCTCAACATCGATCGACCTCATCACTGTAAGGCCGGCGTGTTTTCTTGTGGCTAAAGAGAGCCAAAGTAGATGGGTAATCCTATTCAGAGAGCCACGGTGGCCACCCCCGTTGCCCCGCCCTCTCCCACTAAAGAGATCTAAAGTAGGTGGGTAATCCTATTCAGGATGGCTCGGTGGTCGTTCCCGCCACGCCGCCCTCTCACACCCCTGCGGCCAGATCAACGCGTCGCGCAGTATTTAAGAGGCCTGTGAACCATCCGCAGCCACCAGTTCGGACGTTGTGAGCAGCCAAGGAACTCCTCATCATGAAAATGGTGAGTAGAATTTTCACATTTCAGTTCTAACGAAAAATAAAAAAAACGCTTTCATTATGTACAAGTATAGGTGGTGTATCGGTAATTGCACGCTCGCTTATGCAGCCAACTTTGGCAACGCCCACCACGTGACACTTGCCTCTGGACACTGTAAGCAACACACTTGCACTTACCTAGTTAGGCTCACACGATGACCAGACTGACCTTAGCCTTAATGTGATCAGACCTTGTCGAGCCCTGTGTACATCCCGAACACCCAACTGACACTAATTATAACGATTTGGCACTGGAAAAGGGTTAGTGGTCGGTCTAATCATATCATTAACTATGACTGCTCTCTGCCTTCTTCTAGTCGGTGATACTTTATCTAACGTGTAGAAAGGAAATGGTTAGATTTGAACTTACAGCGTCTAGTCTTCGAAAGGTGGACTTTCATGAATGGCTTGGACATGAGCAGTATTCCCGTATGCTATGCTTTTTTATTTCGTGTTCGTATTGACCACACTGTGCCAGAACATTTTTCCCATGCTGGAGCGCTGTATTGGAGTCGTTTTTAGGCGTCAAACTGCAGGAATACCATGCCGTTTCAGTTCATTCTTGATGTCTTCGTTGAGGCTTAAGTCTTATTTGCACCATTGGCCAAGATGCCTGTTGTTTCATCGGAGCTCAGACTGTACTTGGACTAATTCCCTGGACTTTAAAAGCAGGCATCGCTTAGAGTCCAATATTCTCAGCACGGGTGTGTACTCCGGTGTTTTTAGTCAGCTGAAGAACTCCAGTCCGCCCCTTTTTCACACAGGCGCCTCAGCCCAAGTCTTCTGGTTTCGGTCTGATTCGCGACAGTTTGCATTGTCTTCCGCTGTGTCGTGCATTTTGCGCTGACCGGTGTTTTGTCCGACAGTTTATGCTCGCCTGTCTGGTGGCTGTGGCCGCTGCTGCGCCACAGCAGGTCTTTGACGAGTTCGGCAACGTGGTGGTGGAGCAGCACAGTCTGCCCAAGATCCGGCTGATTTCACAGCGGTTTGTACAGGACGGTCGGGGCAACTACGAGTACGGATACGAACAAGACAACGGACAGAAGGTGAGCGGAGGGAGGCGAGTAATGCGGCACTCTGTTGAAACCGAATCCAACGCACGCCGTCATTGTGGCAATGTGTGCTGGGATTCATGGGCTTTGCTTTGCTTTTCGACTCATGCTTCTGTCTTTTGCCTGTTCACGTAATGATGTATATCTATTGAGCTGCTGAGCGTCGGGTCCTTTGCAAGTGAATATCTAACTTGGTGAATTTAGCGCAAATAGATGACTGAGCAAAGACGCCACGAGTAGCTGTCGAGTGGGCACCACTCCACCGTCTCAGCCCAGAATTCTTGTCCCCTGTTTCGTGTCGTGACTCTTCTGACCCTACACATTTGAAGTACATGTTGCGCACCTACCTGGGACCCGAGGCAGTGAGGGGCTGATGTTGTGTGTCTCTTCACAGGTGGAGGAGGTGGGCCGCAGCTTCCCGGGACCCGAGCCGGGGACGGGTAGCATCAGCAAGGACGGCAGCTTTGAATTTATTTCGCCCGGGGGTCTGAAGTTCCGTGTCGACTACCAGGCCGATGAGGGCGGCTTCAAGCCGTCGGGCGCCCACCTGCCCGTGGCGCCGACGCAGCTCCCGGAGTACGCCCAGCTGCGGGCCCAGCACCCGGAGCTCTTCATCTCATCCCCGTAGAGGCCCTGGCATCGTAAAGGCTTACGCGACGCCGGCATCGAGACCAGTCACCAACACCCGCGTCGTCAGTGCTTCGTGTTGTGTCTCGCATGCTACCCAAGCTCTCCCTAATGACTGCGGAAACATGTCTGTGAATGTCTCCTGTTCCGTCACGAGTCGAGATGTGCGCCGAAGGCGGACATCGCACCATGTGTGATAGAAATGGGTTCAAGTCCTGGGAACTCAAGTCGAAGTGCAGCTATAATAAATTGATTGTGCTTCCTTTACGTCAAGACACAATGATCTATAATGTCGTGATAGAAAAGGCTGCTAAGCATTGTCGGAGGATGGGAGTCATTTGTAACGTGGTTCCATCGTCAGTCGCCGTCATCGCAGTGTCGCAGACAAGATATTTAAATGTCGTGTAAGGGTCTCCTTTGACAAGCGTCGTATTGGTGATGAGCCAAGCGTCCGGCAAGCCGTGGCGAAGCCAGAGGACCTTGCAGGATGCATTCTGCTACTCCGTAAAAGAACGGGAACGATAATAGCTTTTCCGTCCTAGTCTTCAATTTTATGGTTGTGATCACCTGGCCCAGATAATCTGGGCCGGCCGGCGCTATTATTCTGTCTCGTTATCGACTGACGCAGATCGCCTGTATCTGGCATGATAACAATTGCTATTTCTAAGTTCGCAACGCTCTATTTTCTGTAAAACCAGGCCACAAAAACTAAAAATCCACCATTCAGGTGAGAAATTCTAAAAGCTTAAGCGAAAAGCGAAAAGCTTTAAACCATAATGACGTCTTCAGAATGACGGCAGGAAAAGACGGTGGATGGGTTGTTTTATTAGGACAATGCATTCCGATAAATTATGAAGTGTGTGAAAGCCACAATCTTGTTACCCAATATAACGCATCAAATAAACCATAACTTTTCGCACCTGGTAACAATTAAAAACGAACGTTTGTGAAACTCACCTTCATATGACTCAATAACATGCATTAAATAAAATACATTTTTTCACAAAGTAACACTGAAGAACGATATTACAGCGCCTTGGGACGGGGAAATTTGACCGTCGGATTTTCTTTCTCTGCGTCCAGCCCAGTCCGTTTTGTTATGTCTTCTTCTTTTGACTCAGCTGTAGCGGTGCAAGGAGAATGTCGTGTGAGGGGAGACGGAGGAACAGCAGGTCAGCAAAAACAAACGATAGGTGGATCGCAAATTGTCATATCGCTGGGCTCTAATGCTCTGGACACTGCCTGCGCATCAGACGAGAGATAGCTACCAACTAGCATCACAGCAAGTGGAGGCCAAAACATGTTGGCTTGCTGTGCATGGAAGTGGACGTAGGCTTTCAACTCAAAGATAAGGAACCTGTGGCTGGCTGGGGTCTGTCTGGATGAAGCAACTTATAATTCAGAAGATACGCTATACATTGATTGAATCTGCAAAGGGCTCTGGACCGCTTCAACGTGGCTTGTTTGTGCATACAATTGCAATTTAGAACAGGAACTGCTGCGCAGGGAGAGCGTTGTTACGTTCGCCGGGCCACAGGGTTCGTGGTCGGATGGGCACGTGCTGAACTGGCAATGCTGCGGGGCGGGGTGCACGCCCCGGGGCAAGTGTAACTTTCGCTCGACTTTCGACTAAAGGCGTGCTGGCAAATGGCAAAATGGTGTCAGCCTAGCCCTGCGAGTGTGTTGAGAGTTTGACAGACTAGCAGACTGAACAAATGTCTGCAGGAAAATAGCCAAACCAGTTCGACCTGACCCATGAGGCTGTGCCGGAGTAAACAAAATAACACAGCACCTTTGCTGGTGCTGTGATGCAGGTACACGCAACGGATCACGCCCATGGCAGCTGGAGTGAACACAAAGCTATCCTTTCATAATATTAAACGACATATTTTTCCTTTATCCGGCATGGGTAGAAAGACAGACAAGAAGCGGAACCGAAAATGGAAACATCTTGGTTTGGTTAATAGGGCAAGATAATGATACGACTCTGTAGCCCAAGTCCACCTAAAGCACCGCCAGCCAGATCATTATGCAACCACGCTAAAACGCATAGGGTGAACCCGCTTTTTAACTCAGTTCATGTTACGAAACGACCGGGGCTAATGCAGGTGCTTAATTATGAATGCATCTACACAGGTTGAAGGAAAAATTGTCTTTACGGTTTTGTATCTCACAAATTAGACAGGATCCCAGGCCTCCATCTTTTTTGGCGCCATCTTCTTCTTGAGGGCGTCGCATTCGTACGGAGTAGGGCGATCCCTTTGGCGTCCAGCTGTTTATGTTTCTTTTGGATGGCCCGGCGGACCTCAGGCAGAGCAGGCACGATAGCCCGGCGGACCTCAGGCAGAGCAGGCACGACAGCCCGGCGGACCTCAGGCAAAGCAGGCACGATAGCCCGGCGGACCTCAGGCAGAGCAGGCACGATGGCCCGGCGGACCTCAGGCAGAGCAGGCATGATGGCCCGGCGGACCTCAGGCAGAGCAGGCACGATGGCCCGGCGGACCTCAGACAGAGCAGTAACGAGGTAGTGCCTGTGCCTGTCGAGAGGCCTCATGCACTCAGCACCGCTTCATCAAAGAGGACACCCCATGATCAAGCAATGGTGATCAAGCAATCATGCACTATTTTAGACGGTGTGAAGCGCACCCCCCGCTATTCCATCACCTGGCGTTTAAGCACTGGCTTCCACAATTGAGCCCAAGCTTCGTCGCAAGCCGCGGTCCGATTTCGAACATAGTCACTTTCTCGTCGAAAACAAACCAAATGAGATGATAATGAGGTGATCCGGAATTGTTTCTGTGCAATGTTGAGGAAGCGAGGTACTAACATGGCTACATTGCTCCACTTTCCAGTTGTCTGTGTGACGACGCTTTGAACCTAGGTTTATGAGAAACACCATTAATCGGTGATATCTTGCACTGTCATTCAGCGATCCTGGCTCAACAGGGCAGACATCGATCCTGGCCCAGCAGGGCAGGCAGAGGCCCTGGCTCAACAGGGCAGGTATCGATCCTGCCTCAGCAGGGCAGGCAGCGGTCCCGGCTCAGCCCGGCAGGCAGAGGTCCTGGCTCAGCTGGGCAGGCAGAGGTCCTGGCTCAGATGGGCAGGCAGAGGTCCTAGCTCAACAGGGCAGGCAGTGGTCCTGGCGCAACAGGGCAGGCAGTGGTTCTGGCTCAACAGGGCAGGCAGTGGTCGTGGCTCAACAGGGCAGGCAGCGGTTCTGGCTCAACAAGGCAGGCAGCGGTCCCGGCTCAGCTGGGCAGGCAGTGGTCCTGGCGCAACAGGGCAGGCAGTGGTTCTGGCTCAACAGGGCAGGCACTCCACATTGATTATCCCTGGGGTAGAGACCTGATCTGGGGCCGTCACTGGTCACCAGCCACCTCAACTGGCCTGGCTCACTGGCCTAATGTTTCATAGGTCAGGTAATGTTCTCAGAGAGTTTCTTTCACCAAGTTATAAAGTTCATAGGAGCTTTCAGGTGGAAAACGTGAGCTTGATAAAGTCAGACATCTCTCTGTTGAATCTAAAGTGACCAACCTGTTCGTCGTAGCAATAATTTAATTTCGTTTTCCTAGTTTGGGTTCTGCTCCAACCGCCCCCCCCCCCCCAATTCCAAGAGGAAAGTGTCTTAAATTCGGTTAGAAACCCGTTTTGGCTTATTTTGAACATATATTTAGTCATTTTTTCTCACCAGCCTTCAACGTTTTTAAGAAATTACACCAATGTATCTCACCAAGCACACCCTAACCCTCACTGCCAAACGATAGCAAATTTAACACCATACACAACAACGCATTGATGCGTTGCCATCGTAACAGTTAAATGTATACATCACCTAGTTATCCCTGCCCCATTAGTGTGCAAACAGATACACAGGGCTAAAAAGTGTCATGTCTGTTTCAAACGAACAGCCTAAACTCAAATTCGGAACGGCCTAAATTGCCACTCGAAACCAAATATGCGAGAAACCGTGGCAATATCAGTCTAAAATCGATACCCGAGAACAAAGGTAAGTAAATTGCAACGCGTAATAAGCACCATAAGGATTTTCCCTTCTTCGAAACTTCATTTGTACTAAAGTGTCATCTCCTGGCATAACAAAAGCCAGGGCGGTTGTGACGTTGGCCTTAGTACGTGCGTGGCTGGGCCAGCGTGGCCCGCGCCAGCCATGGATCGCCGTGCGATGCTCCTAAAAGACACGAACTTCTCAGAAACTAGAACTGCTGAGAACACGTTTCTACGTCAAGGTAAGTCCAATGGACGCCTCAGAGGATACCAAAAGTTTAAGTTCGATTGCACGATATGCGGGAGAGGTGTCATTCGGTCAGATACTTATCCGTTCCGCTTAAATGCAGAGGCTGGTGCGCGTTGCATGACAAATACACGATCTGACTGTGCGCTGGGAACTGCGTCAATCTAGTTTCAGTCATAGTAACGAAGCTGCTGACTGCTTGGCCGACGAAGTGACGGCTTTGGATCAGAGCACCAATTCCGTCGACCGGACCAGGGCGCAGCACTGTGCGGTGGGCCCGTCGTCTTGTGGCTCTGGAGAGCTAGAATAGTTCAGTAATCAGCCCCGGGATGTCTCCGCATTGCTCGCGCAGCTCATCCTCACTTGCGGAGCGGCGTAGAGATGCTCTCTGACCGCAGAGAGTACCTCTGCGGTCAGATAGCACGGCTCACGGCACTGAAGCAGCCCGCGGACAAACTGCAGCCACCAGTCCCAGCGTCGTGGGCATCCAAAAAGCTTTTTCGTCATGGAAATGGTAAGTGGGGCGATCGTTAGAATCAAGTGCTTCACTTCTGTGTTTGGCAACGTGTATTTCGATGGGCAATTATGGTCTGAACTATCGCTGGTTATTTTTGCCAATTTTGGTGCCTTACTGATCACAACGCACCAAAATTACTCCCATGTTGTAGCACTGTATTACAGCCAGCTTTGGGCATGGCATGACAGAGACAACAAGCTATTTCAGCTATTTATTGATGACTTGTACTCAAAAGTGCACTGACTTTCAACCTCACTGTACGATAAAGGCGTCGTAAAAATATATGTCAGATTACGTGATTACTGACATTGGTACGTCAAAGTATTTTGGCTGTCGGTCAAATGTGATGGAGAGGCATAGAGCATAGCACATAGCCGTGAACATAGGCATAGGCATAGAACAAAACAGACACACAGACCAAGGTTTCATCTCTCACTTGCATGACACGTAACCTTGGCTCTAGGCTTGGTAAGGCGCGTGTAACATTGGATGCCTTCTCATGTGGCATGTGTGACCATGGTGCAATGATTTCACATCATAAGATACGTTTTTAAATGAAAGGCGTTGTGAGAGCGGTCAGATGCGTCAAAGTACCATTTATAGAATGCAGCATTGAGCCGTAGCCTTCACACACACTTAACTTGAGTTTGTTGTATAGTCTGCGAACGCACGTCATGGCGACATCGATTGCAATTGAAATTCTCGAATTCGGCCTGGCCGTTCTTGAGATAAGCAGCAGGGGGGGGGGGGGGGCAAATATGCCCCATGCAGTCAATGGTGTATTACTGAGGAGTCCGGTCAATGCCGGTTTTAACATATCAACACTGATCGTCATCTTTCAACGACATGTTAAACACATATGTGGCGCGGTCACTCCAAGACGCATGCGCGTGTGCAACCGGAAGTACGCTGGAAGGTAGGGGGAGCTGTTGCGCGTTAGCTGAGTGACTTAAAATTGCTCTCCGTCGTATGAAAATTAAATAATTCACCGGGATACGACGAAGGCATGACGCAACTCAGCCCGATATCTCTATAGACAGTTTTTACCGTTTCCGGGACAACTGTTAAACATTCTCCTACCGGACTTAAGAAGCTGTTGGTCTTTTTCAACATTTCTTTTCACACTGTGAGGGTTTCATTGAGTTTCTGAGGAATGGCGCATGCTTCATGGAATCACGGCTTGTGCTGATGTCTGGCTCCAGCACGTCGGTGGGTATATACAGGCACACATGAAAAAAACAATACTAATATATTTCAACTGCAAGAATGAAACATCTCGAACTGCAACGATCCAAGTCCGGTCTAGCGTGCGATTCTAGGTGGGACTACCAACGTTCCCATCCGTCAATGGCATATTTTTGCATAGTGAGTGTGGGGTGAGGGTGGGAGAGGGAGGGGGGGGGGGGGCGTTCTGACCGTTAACAATAATGAAATCTACCCCAAAATTCGCCAACAAATAGGTTTTTCCGAATTTGGCCCACTCTTCTCTCAAGGTTGGAGAGGAGTCCAAGTTGGGGTTGGGGGCTACACCCCTACCACCTTCCTCAAGATTAGTGAAATCTTGACATCTCCCGTATGCCC